AAAACCTCACTTCTTCGGATGCATAGGAAGATGCATCCGAAGAAGTGAGGTTTTTACTCACGAAAGCTTATGCCCAAATAAATCTGTTAGTCTTTAAGGGAAACTTGAATGAGCTGGTGGGGTGGGGCTGGGAGTCAGGACTCCTGGGTTCTATCCCCAGCGCTGGGATGGGAGTGGGGTCTGGTGCTCAGTCTCAGAAAGGTTTTGGAATGAACTTGCTGAGGCTACAGTAATGATGAGACTTTACAGAGGATAATTAAGGCTATTACTGTTGGGTGGTCAGGACATTCCAGATCATTTCCACATTTTCAGTTCAAGGCAGAACTGTCTGTTGGTGATGGCGGAGGAAATAGAATAGTAGCGCCGAAGATGTTACAAGCTGACATGCTCAGAGGAGGACATGAAGGGCGCTTGGACCTGGAGAAATGTCAATGCAGAGCCGGAGAGAGATAGTAATGGCCACAAATGAACAGTGAGATAGCGAAATTGTTAAAATGTGTGCAACAGGCCCCCAGTGCCAACCTAAACAGGGTAAAAGAGGCTATGTTGGTAAGCAATGAACAGTTAAGGGCATAATCTAAAGTTGGTGTGAATCTATTTGCATATGCAGGTGAGGGCTCTGTTTTGACACTGGATTATAATTCTCATTCTCTGGAGAATATTAAAAAATACTGCACCAAAAACATGTTATAATGCACATGAAATCGATATTTTGCAGGCATAAAATCCCTGAAGTTATTTGCCCGGCACTGAGATGCAGCCACCTATGGGGTGGGGCATGGGAGCTGTTTGTACAAGGATTCCCTCACCCACCGGCACTGAGATGTGGCCACTTGTTGGGTCTCTCTGGGAGGGGATGGGGGGAGGTGTGACTCTCCCTCTCTGTGGGGCACATGTGCGTGGTAAGATGTGGGCTGGGGCTGCGGTTGGTGAGCAGGAAGTGGACATGGTTGGCACAGTCCTGCTGTAAAACCACCACAGCTTCTTCCTGATTCAAAGTCACATCTCCACTGTCTGTGAAGCTGGGACCTCTCAGGGCCTGGGGGGAGGTCACACATTGTGGTGGCTGAGAATAAGGTTGACAGACTTGAGGCTGGAACTGGGGAGTTTGAGGCACATTGGGAGACGGGTCCTAAAAAGGGATGAAGGGAAGATCGGGGGAGCCTGCCCCCGCTCTCTGAGCACCCCCTTTGTCCAACCAGCCCCACAATTTTCCAACCTCATCCCCCAGCCCCAGAATTCTACACCCCACCTTGCCCCACATCTGCTCCTCCTACAAATCTGGAGGGTCTTTACCTCCTCCCAGTCTGAAGGGGGCAGCTCCAAGGGGACTCTACTTCCCAGGTCTGGGCTTGCAGGAATGGAGAGGGCAGAAGGGCCAGGGGAGAGGAGGGCAGAGCCACCCTGAGAGATAATTACACTCCCTGCTTCTCTCCCACAATTCCTCTCAGCCCAACTTGCCTCCTGCGGCAGCCCTGATTGGCTACCAGGAGGTGGAAGATGTGGGGAAGATCAGCGAATTGTAGGGGGGTTTCCCCACTCACCCACTTCTCCCAGCCAGTCCCGCGGCCGGAGGTGGGGAGTTAGTTAGCTACCCTATGCATTAGGGATTCAGTGTTGCCATGCATTGCCTGTTTCTTGTGTGACATGAGTTTGGGGGTCTCAGCTTGCAGGAACAAGGGAATCTTGGGCAGGAAGAGAGAGGTTACAGTAGAACCTCAGATTTACGAACACCAGAGTTACGAACTGATCAGTCAACCACACACCTCATTTAAACCAGAAGTACGCACCCACACAGCATCAGAGACCAATAATGAAAAGCTAATACAGCACAGTGCTGTGTTAAAAATAACCTTCAAAAAATATAAAGGGGAAGCTGCATTTTTCTTCTGCATAGTAAAGTTTCAAAGCTGTATTATGTCAATATTCAGTTGTAAACTTTTGAAAGAAGAACCATCATGTTTTGTTCGAGTTACGAACATTTCAGAGTTACGAACAACCTCCATTCCCGAGGTGTTCATAACTCTGAGGTTCTATTGCATTTTACCTCTGTATTTGGCCCTGGTGCGACCCCTGCTGGAATAGTGAGTCCAGTTCTGGTGCCCACAATGCACAAAGGATGTTGATAAATTGGAGAGGGGTCAGAGAAGAGCCATGAGACTAAGGAAAGGATTGGAAAACCTGCCTCATAGTGATAGACTCAAGGAGATCAGTCTAGTTAAGGGAAGGTTAAGGGGTGACTTGTCCCCAGTCTATGAGTACTTATGAGGAGGACAAATATTTAATATTGGTCTCTTCAATCTAGCAGATAAAGGGCTAACACGATCCAATGGCTGAAAGTTGATGTTAGACAAGCAAAGGCCATGTCTACACTAGCGAGTGTACAGCGGCACAGCTGTGCCGATGCAGCTGCACCGATGGAAGATCACTCGTGTAGCTACTCTATGTCGACAGGAAAGAGCTCTCCGGTCAATGTAATTAAACAACCTCAACGAGTAGTGGTACCTCTGTTGGTGGGAGAAGCTCTCTACCGACATAGCGTTCTGCACAATACCACTTATGCCAGTGAAACTTATGTCACTCAGGGGTGTGGTTTTTTCAGACCCTTAAGTGACATAAGTCTTGCCACCGTAAGTGGTAGTGCAGACATGGCCTGTGACGGCAAATAAAGCCTCCAATTTTAACAGGAAGCCTAATTCAACATTGACCAACTACATACAGTTTGCCAAGGGTTGTGGATTCTCCATCACTGGATATTTTAAATCATGATTGGACGTTTTTTCTGAAAGATCTGCCGTAGTTCAATCAGGAATTAATACAGGGAAGTTCTCTGGTCTGTGTTATCCAGGAGGTCAGACTAGACAATCACAATGGTCCCTTCTGGCCTTGGAATCTCTCAGTCTATGAAGTCTGATCTGACCCTTCTACCCCTACAGGAAGTGCACCCGCTACGGATCAGCGTCAGGAAAGCGGATGGAGATAAATCTAGGGCTTCATTCACCAGCGCTAGCTCCACTCATGATATTTATTTTTAAATGGGTGTGTCTGGTGCTATGCAAATGAATACAGGGAATGATTTGCATAATATAGCCCTTGAGGGCTAACAAACAGGGAGCAGGTGGTGAGGAGCTGGGAGTCAGGATGCCTGGGTTCTATCCCTGGCTTTGGGAGAGGAGTGGGATTTGATGGGTTAGATTGGGCGGTGTGTGTGTGTGTGGAATTCAGTCCCATAGCCAAAAGGAGCCGGCCCTTCAGACCCAACCACTGGCCCGTTCTCCATAGGGGAAGCTCTAACTGGTGACTGTTTAACCCCTGCAGTGCTGGCACCGAGCCATGGATTCAGTGTGGAGGTGGAGGGACCCATCACCTTCCAGGAGGCAGCAGCGGGCTTTGGGCAGAGTGTGGTGCAGTTCGGGAGTGCCAGCGCTGGGGGGTAAGGGCCAAATGTGGGCTCAGGGCCCCATATGACTCATGCCCAACGCTGAGGGGCTTGTCTGGCTGGGCTGCCCCTCCTGGGACCCACTCCTCTCGGTGTGATGGGGCATCCCTCTAGCCCCCCTCTTCTGTCTCCCTGCAGGCTAATTGTTGGGGCCCCACTGCAGATGGGAGACGTGAATGAAACCGGCAAAGTCTACAAGTGTGACCCGGGCTCCAGACGCTGCCAGGAGATCCCCATCCAGAGTAGGGGCACCCTGTGCTATGGGGTGCAGCAATAGGATTGGGGTGGGAGTCAGGACTCCTGGGTTCTGTCCCCAGCAGTGGGGTGGGGTGGGGTGGGGTCTAGTGGTTAGAGCCGGAGGAGCTGGGAGTCAGGAATCCTCGGTTCTATCCTCTGCTTTGGGACCGGAGTGGAATTTTTCTGCTCACCCTGGTGTGCATCTCTCCCCTGTCAGGGCCCCCCGATGCCATGAACATGTCCCTCGGTTTGTCTCTGGCTGCCCGGGGCTCCGAGTTCCTGGTAGGTACCACACCCAGGGGAAATGGGTGCTGGGACTGGGGTCCGACATTTGTTCCCTCAGCATTCCAAGGGACAGCTCCCCCCACAAATCCCACTACACATGGATGATAGTAACTGGGCGGTGTCAGGTGACAATTGGGTGATGTCACCATGACTATACGATAATTGTGCAAGGGCTGTTGGTAACTACTGTAACTGGAGCGGGGGCGGGGAGGGGGGAAAAGGATGGTGGTAGGGAAAAGTAGGGAATGGTGGTAGCCCGGTATCCTTACTTTGGCAACAGTGACCATGAGATGATGTTGTGAGGGATGGAGGCAACTGGCTGATGTTGCCATGGTGACAGTGACTGGAAGGAAGCAGGAAGTTGACCATAGCAGGAAGCATTGCAACTGGGTTGTCGCCATGGCAGTGACTGTGCCTGAACATAGCAGGGAGCATGGCAACCAGGTGACATTGACATGGCAACTGTGACTGGCTCCTGCCATAGCAGGGAGCGTGGGAACCAGGTGATGCCCCCGTGTGGGTCCCGTCTGCCCCAAGTGGGTCCTCTGCCCTGGCAGGGCCTTTCTCTGCATATCCATGGGGGGGAGCAGACCCCTGGATCTATCCCCCACCCTCAGTGCTCTGTTCAGAGGGGCATCTACTGAACCCGTGCCTTCTCGTGCCCGAGGTGTGTGGCCCCACGGTGCACAGGGCCTGCGGGGAGAACATGTACGTCAATGGCTACTGCTTCCTCCTGGACCAGAGCCTCCAGCAGCGCCAGCGCATCCCGGACACCCAGCCAGGTGAGGGGTGACACAGGGTGTGTGTGGGGGACCTACGCTCTGGGGTCACGGGTGCATACAAGGGCCATGGGAAGGTGGAGGGGATATGGGTCTAGATGGGCCCATGGGTCTGATATGGATTGAGACACCAGGTTAGGTGGGCCCATTGGTTTGATTCAGGATGTCGGTAAGAGCTGGGAGGCAAGACTCCTGGGTTCTGTCACAGGGGAAGGGGGTAGGGTGTATTTTTTTCATCCCAGTGCATGTCATGGTCTATGCTCAGGACCCCTCAGTGGCAGGGATGGGATGATATTGCAACAGAAGGGCCCATTGATCTGATCCGGGGTTGCAGGGAGGGGGCAGGATACCAGGTTAGATGGATCCATTGGTCTGGTCTAGCTCTTTCTACTGGGTTTTCTCCATGTTTGTGGAGTTGAGTCAGGAGTCGGACGTATTTTTTCCTGTCCCTCTCAGAGTGCCCCAAACATGTCACAGACATAGTGCTCCTCGTCGACAGTTCGGGCAGCATCGCATCTGTGGACTTTGGAAAGATGAAGACGTTTCTCTCTGAGATCATGAAGCGTTTCCGCAAAACCGACACGCAGGTAACGGGCAGAGGCTGAACCCTGACTACTTACCCTGCCCCTCGCAATCAGTGCTGATCCCAATGCCCCAGTGCGGCGCTAGAGGGTGCTGTGCTGCAGGGGGAGCAGTAAAACATTTTGCATCCAAAACCAGGAAAAAATTCCAACAGAACCAGCTACGTCCCAACTGCCTCAGCCCTTAACTGAGTCTGATTCTTGCTTTTCTTACCCTGCACCCCTTGGGTTGTTTTTCTCTCTTCTCCCCTACCTCCCCTTGCAGTTCGCCCTCATGCAGTACTCCAATAAATTTGAATTTCACTTCGACTTCATGAAGTACAGGAGAAGTCACAACCCCGATCATCTTCTCCAGGGGGTTGAGCAGCTTCATGGAACGACGTACACGGCCACAGCCATCCGGAAAGTGGTGTAGGTATTGCCCTGCTCCCCGTGCTGACTCCACAGAGAATGGGCTGTACGGACATGTGAGCTAAGAGATAGGGACTCAGGACCCCTGGGTTCAGGGCCGGTGCAAGGAAGTTTCACGCCCTAGGCAAAACTTCCACCTTGCGCCCCCCCCCCCGCCCTGCGGCAGCTCCCCACACCCAGATAACCTCTGCTCCGCCTCCTCCCCCAGCACGCCGCCCCTGCACTAATTCTTCCCCCCTCCCCA